CCACCATGGCTTTCAAAGTCTAAAGGAAATGAGAAAGAACACTATTGGAAGCGCACTTATGGGGGAATGGGGAAAAATGATTCATGTGCTCTCACACACCCGCCTGGTGGGGAGAACATATGTAGGGTCGAAAGCTTGGATAAGCTTCCTGAACCCTGTGTCCTCCACAAAACTGAAGGGCTGGCAATCTTCAATCACCATATTGATTAATGCCTCTTCCACTGCATTCTTATTCACTGCAGTTTAACAGAGACAGAGTTAGTGATAGATGTCATTCATTTCATCTGTCACATTTGAAATACACATGGTAGGCTATGCTGTTCTTTCATTGCATGTTAAAATGCCTTACCTGGGGGTGGTTCTGTTTGAGTTGTCTCCTTATTTTCATGCAGGGCCCTATAATGCCTCAACATCGATGACGTGTTCTCTTGGTACCCAAGTTCTTTGGAACAAAGTTTACACTTCACCTTTTGAAATATCAGCAAGTCGAAGAAAGACATTATAATGAGGGATGCACTGTGCTGTCACAATAATTTACAATATATATTCACACTGGTTATAATTCGTACCTTTTTAGGGGAGATCTGCTCAAAATGATCCCAGACAGGGGATGTTCTCTTCTTATTTGTTGTGGGTGGTGGGGTGCGTCCAAAGCCGTCCATTGCAAAACGAATCGGAATGAGTTGAGGTTTGGAGATGCGAGTCGAGCGTGTCAGCGTCACCTGTGAGCTCAATGTCGTCCCGGTGCGCCGGATTTATTTCGATTCACCCGCGAAATCACCCGCGAAACTATTTGTTGGCGGTGACGTAGGAATCCCGTCTCGCGGGGCGTCGGGCGGAGCAACGCGCGTTCCGAGGCATCGGGCGTGGCCACAAGCGTAATCGACACATGCCTCGAAGCGCGCTTCGCAGATTTTCTTCCGGTTTACTCGGCACACGCATCGGAGCCTCTGCACAGTCGGGCACATCACTATTAAATACTAGTGATGGGTCTATGAGGCCTCATGAGGCGTGTCGACACACTGACACACTGTGTTGATACTGTGCTAATACTGTGTCGCTGACCACTGCCACCTGCTGGACCTTCAATTCCCTGCAGCCAACCCACTTGACAGACTGAACTGACGAATTTGATGATGAAGTGCATACAATATCATTCACATCCATGCATTCCTGTTGTATCATTCAATGTGTTTTAATAATGTGAAAATCATGTGAATGAGGATGCTTGTGGGCTTTGTCTTCACAAATTTTTATTTTGAAAAATAAGATGCTCCAGTGTTTTCAATTTCAGTCTGTTGCGTCGACGCAGCCTGGACTGAGTCGACGCAGTTCATGTGTTGGTCACGTGATCGTCACGAAGCAACACACGCACCGACGCGTTGATTGCTCTGTGAGCTCGATGCATGCGTCGACGCATCGGTGTTGCTGGACCCATCACTATTAAATACATCTTGGTCACTCCCCCCTGCCCTCCCTGCTTTTTGGGGTCCTCTACTCCGCCATCACGCAAAACGTGACAAAATGATCCAACCAAGACTGGACCCCGCAGGACCAGAGGCCTGGTCCCACTGCCATCTGTTCCTGTTTCCGGTGATGCAAGTGTTGCGGTCGCCCTCTGTTCCTGTTTCCGGCAACGCAAGTGTTTCGGTCTCTCTCCCTTCCTGTTTCCGGCGACGCAAGTGTTGCGGTCACCCTCCGTTCCTGTTTCCGGCGACGCAAGTGTTGCGGTCGCCCTCCCTTCCTGTTTCTGGCGGCGCATGTGTTTCGGTCGCCCTCCCTTCCTGTTTCCGGCGGTGCAAGTGTTGCACCCCCTTTTTCCGCAGAGTCAACCCACTGCTCGACTTTGGGACATCTGGGATCGGTCCCTTGAGGGGGGGCTAATGTTATGTTTCTGTTTAGGTCACGTTTGGTTTTGTTCCCTTATGTGCCCTTTTTGTCGCCACCTGTTCTTGTCATCAGTGTCCCTTGTGTTTAACCAATCAGCTCCCTCAACCCTTCGTGTCTTGTCCAGGTGTGTCTCGTTGTCTCGTCACTTTGCTTGTATTTAATTCCATGAGTTCTGTCACTCTTTGTTGGGTCATTGTGAGTGTCTGTGTGCTCCTGTCAGGTTTTGTTTTCGGTCACAGGTTTTTGGCTACTTTCGTTCCTCTGTTTTTCTGGACTTTGAGTATTTGAGTGAGTTTTTTAGAGTGTTTGTATTTTTTTGTTAAATACATCTCGGTCAGCCAACCCTGCCTCCCTGCTTTTTAGGGTCCTCCAACTACCACCTCGCAAAACTTAACAAGTATAAAGTACAGTGTACGTCTTTTTAATTGTACACAAAATGAACCAGCCAGTGATGGCCAAGCGGGCATGTCAAAACTAATTGACATGTTGAGTCGGGTGCGTCTTAACTTCTGTGGCAGAGGCTCTGTCAAACCCCTGAGACTGATTCACTGAACCCCTCGGGTTCGATCGAACCTTGATTAAGAACCACTGACCTAGAATAAGAATCATTGTTACCTTAGATGGCATGAGAAGAGCATAAATAAATGGCCATCAGCTGACCAGACCATTATTAAACATGAACACGACACCTCTTTTTTAGTAGGATCTCTGCAACGACTCTGTGAACTGGCGGGAATCGGCTAAAGTGGCGGAACCAGCAGTCCTTCCTGATTGGCCAACATCTAACTGTCACAAATTCAAAGAGCCTCAGAAGACCAGCTGTCGGCGCTGACTCTGAAAGCAGCAGCCCACTTTGCTCTCTGCCTCCACCTAGTGAAACTTGCTCAGACAATATTGATGCTCGCGCTCTCTGAGTTTTTATGCCACGTTAATTTGTAGTTAGTTGTTAATTTATGTATTTGTTTTAGGGTATATCCTTAATTTGAGTGTCAGTTGTTGCTGCCTTTTGTTTTGAACCAATTTTGAGAACCCTTTGTTTTAATACATTGTAAATACCCGTTTTTGTAAATACATTTTATGCTTTGGCTTATTTTTGTTTTAATGAATTCTGTAAAATGTTTGTTGCTAGGACCATATTTTTCTTTTTCACTCTTGGGAACTGAGAGTGAATTAATTTCTCTTATGTTATGCATTTCCAAATACCATTAGTTTTGTCTTTAAAGAAATTTATTCTAAACTGTGATTTTCTAATCTGGCCCCTCTGTTGTTGGATCTGTTCCAACACTTGGAAAAAAAGAATGTAGTATGCTGTTGAAGGTATTTCCTGCTTAGTGTGATTACAATCTCCTTTAGTGTCCCCTTCAGCCCCGCCACTTTTAGGACCACTCGAGAGGACATGTTATCTCAAGTATCTGTGTTGCTGCCGTCACATCAAAGCTCAGACTGAAGAAAATAGGGGGTAGTGGTGGTCGGGTCTCACCTCACCCAACTTTTTCCAGCCACACCGGGTCAGATGTTAATTTCTTTGTTTCTGGGATCTGCATGAAGGCGTAACTGCTCGCCTCTCATTATCATATTGTCTCTATGCTGTGTATACTTGTGACTGTGTTTTTTTGGAGCTTTTCTGATGAAATCTGATACTCTCAGAAGCCCGAATCGATTCGTGTATGGTTGTGATAAACTGCAGAAAAGACGACGTGGTGTTGGGTCTTTATTGCACCTAATAGAGAAAGGAAAGGACCTGTGTCCAAGGAGGGCCATAAGGAAATGGACAGATCCCCTCCACATCATCTTTAAATGTATTGCTAACGATAGTTTAAACGTTCTCAATTCTGAGGTAATTATCTCCAAAATGTGCTGCATTTTCTCACCGGAAACGAGAATGTTTGTGTCATGTCTCTGCTCTGGGGTTGTATTTTTGTTTTCTTCAGTACCAAGTGAGTGTGAACTGGGTGTTCTTCCTGCAAAACACCTGTCGTCTATTTTCAAATCAACTGTCTTTGGGGGAGCAGCTGTGGCTGCTCATCGGTGTCCGATTATTCACTTGCTCACCCCAGTTGCTTGACTGTATTTTTGCCATGCATAAATTACTCTTTTATAGTTCACTCTGCTTAAAATTTCCCTGTTTTCTTGGGCGAACAATTGCTTGCATTTTCAATAGCTCTATTGTTTTGAGTTCATACACAACTTTACACCGAGGCTGGAGGGGAAAACAGCCCCATCAAAAAGTTTTAAGAGCTCAGGAATGCCAACTCTGTAACCCGGCAACAAATGCTTCTGTTGCAGGCACGTAGCCAGGATTTTTTTCTCGACTCCTACTGAGAGGGCCTTAACAGATAGTGGGGGAGGGGCAGAGTAAAAAAAATCGATTTTCGTGATTTTACTTACTTGAGAGGTTCTGTCGTTTTTTTAAATGGAAGTATAATAATGCACATTAATGATGTGCGGCAGAGATGTTTATTCAGTATTAGGTAGGAATTTTCCCGAAGATCGGGATTTTGACCAGGATATCAAACATACGGCCCGCGGGCCGGAAAGAGGTTCGATCAGGCCCACAGGATAATGTAAAAGTGAAAAAAATGCATAAGGGATACAGAATGAATATTTTTAATAAGGCGCAATTCGTGGAGTATCTGCTAGGGGGACACACTGTTATGATCAGAGTAGAAGACAACACTGTTTAGATCAGAGAAGAAGACAACAGCAGCCTCAGTCTGTCACTGAGACAGACCCAACACAGTTGACGCTATCAAGGACATGTGAATACTTAATTCTTTACACATTTAATAGCACTCTCCTTAGTTTTTAAGGTGTAGGCAGGGATTAAATTTAGATGTTATATGCACCTGTGTAAATGGTTTAAAATTCCTTTCTTTATAAATCTCGTTTAATATTAAAGTGCATTACTATATTTTTCAACACCAATTACTGTACTTGTTAAAGTTTTGTGCCTTTGTACAATCAGTGGGATGAGTAGCAATGCATATATGAGAATGATAAAAGTAAATTGCACCTTTGTTGAAGGAAATCTAAGGTGCTTCATGAAATATTTTGTAAAAGATATGTTCATTACATTCCAACATTTTCCTAATGTTCTTATGCGTCTTTAGACCAAAAAAAAAGGAAATACATTATTATTTTGGTTATTTATAGCAGAGTATGGTATAATTTTAATGGTCCGGCCCACTTGACATCTACCGAAGCCGTATGTGGCCCACAATGTGAAATGAGTTTGACACGCCTGATTTAGACCGTGCCATCCAACAGCAGTCATTGATTACGTCTTTGTAACCCGTTCAGTGTGCTTTGCTGACTTTGACAGAAATGCTCAAATTGTGGGCCCACATCATGTTGCGGAATGTTTGTTGCACACTATTTTGAAGCCACTCGACTTAAGATCTATGGCTTGTGCTACTTCAGGGGTTGGACAGGGCCACTGTCCTCATCTTGTTTGCTTTCTGATGGGGCAATAGCCCCCGCCCATCCCGGTGTGGTGCCATACATGGTCTGTTGAAAACTGTGATGGGTATCACAAATAATTATTCCCATGGTAGATAAAACTAATATAGATAAATTCATTGGCACGTGACCAATAATTTGCGAAATGACAAAACTTGTACCTTTAAAATGCATATCAAGCAACATTTTTGTAAAGTTTTGTACAGTATTTTCAAAGTAAATGCAAAATAAAATGGATGAAACTTTTGCATCACTGTGACTGCCAGTGGGTTTCACTGTTCCCTTTCTTTCAACATCAGGCCAAATATACATTACTCCAGTTATTTTGGAGCGATTGCCCCTGGGAGAGACACTCTATAAAGCCTAAAAGGAACAAGATCATGGGAAATCAGCGACCTCCCTGCTTTTTTAAATCTCAGGAGATAAGCAAACTATGGAGGCAGGGCAACGACTTGCATCTATTGGATACATACCATGAACTGTTACAAAGTGCCTTATCATAAAATCAGGCTGCTAATAGTTTGTTTTACCATTATCTTTATGACTGATAATTAATTCACAAGTTCTGTATTATAAAGATTATGTCCACCCCAAATTAGACAGAAGAAAAACAAAAAAATGACATTCTGGTTTACACAAATGAATCATTTTTGTTTACCATATAAGGCAACTTCAGACTCACCCAACACGTCCAGATCCACTTTGAAGTTGATGAAGTGTGTATGGATGTTCCCCAGGACATTTTCTGCCACCTGGTGGCCATGTTTCAAACTGCCGTTCACCAGATAAGATGACGAGATGTATCCGGTGGCGTGCACCTTGATTTCGACAGATCCACTTTGGTAGAAAATGAAATCCCACATGTAATCGTAATTTCCTATGGCAGTGATCGTCCGGAACACCAAAGCGCTGTTCACCATCCCTCCATAACTGTTACTAAAAAAGTCAGAGAAGTGTCTCCTCAGAGGCTGCCCAAAGTTGTGCTCAAATATACAAATTGAATTCCTGGCTCGAACGGATGATTTTACGTCGATGTAGCGGTATGTGTCAACATAGGTGGCTTCATGGGGGCAATCGGTGCCACGGACAAGTTCATGTGCGAAACGGCCTATTCCGATGCTGGAGTCCAAAAACTTGGTGATTATCATTCCGGGCGTCACTGACCCGTACACCGACATTGCTTCCTGTACACTCAGCTCATACGCAATCCGCTCACCCTTAAAGCGCACGTCGAAGACTCGCATGCCAGTGAGGGAACTCAAGCCAAAAGCAAAGCTCCAGTCCAGGTAGAGGACGTGGTTACCGCTGACGCTAAAGCGTTTTCCTTCTGTGTAGTACTGCAGCGGGCTAAGCTGCAGAGGCTTGTTCTTGGGCTTCAGAGAACCATAATCAGGTGTCTCCTTGTAAATGATTCTTTTAACAGATCCGGCAGCATATTTCTGTTGAAGTTCTTTTACCGTGTCGAAATACTGACCGTTATACAGAAGTTTCTCCACTTTCCATTCGGATTCATTTAAGCTCATGTGATTGATGAGAACCTCGAAACCCACCGGGTGGATGTACATGCCGCTCATGTCCCTGAAGAAAGACACCCAGGTTTTTCTGTCTCCCGATTGCAGTCCGCGGGGCATTTGCTCGAACGGGTTTAGCTTCTTGTCGGCACCGAAGCTCTCTTTCATAAGCTCCGGCAGCTTGCCGAACAATTCTTTCTTCAAAAACTGGAACAATAATTCATACTCTCCAATGGTGACCGTGCGTGCGTTGAATGGCAGCTCCGTCTTGTACCTCTTCACGGTGACATCCTGGTGGTATGTGGGGTTCGGAAGAGGTCCTACTACGTACTCCTTAATGAGGCCCTTGGATCCATAGAAGACCACCACGGTGGCTTCGCGCACTGGCTTGGAAGCGCCCCCGTCCAAGTAAGACAACACATCCACCTTTTTGGGTAGCGAAAGTTCGATTAAGAACAAAAAGTTTTCGGAGGGCTTGGTGAGCTGCCTCGTTGATATATCCAAGTCTTTCTGTTTGAGCATATACCGTTGGACCTGCAAGTACTCATCCCGAGTGAGATCAGCGAACACGCGGCTGCGCTCGTCGTGTTTGCCTCTCAGAGAATGCGTGCGCTGAGAGGAACATTTGGGTGCCCGGCTGGAATATATTCCGATCAGAATAACATTCAAAAGAAGAGAGACGAGGACAAAAAGAAAGAGAATCCATTTCACCACAGAATTCATCTTGTGGGCTCCGATTGTAGCAGAAAATGCGAAGGGAGCAAAGTCGAACGGTGAGAAGATTTTGTGTCCCTCCCCTCCTCCTCCGGACCCTGCCTCCTCATCTTCACGTGGGGATCCGGGGGCACTGCTTGAGTTCCCACGCAGCACTCGAGGCAATGGAAAAGGCCGAGTAAATATGTGCTCTGAGAGTCTAAACACGGTTTTCTGATTAATCTTACTTTCGTGGAATAATAAAATCATAATTAATGAGATTAATCCGTTCTACTCCCAAATTTCTGACTTCACTTTAAGAGCAAAAGTATCAAGTCATTAAGGGCCGTATTGCAGGGGGGCATACAGTGTAACACCACCCCCGCCCCCCATGTTTTTATTTTTATAAAGATCAGTCCCATAATGATTCTAATGTTATATTAAAATGAATACCTGTTTCAACTGCATATATGCCCATTAAGTACCCTCTTTAAATACAGAATGTGTGTATTACATGTGGTGATAATTTCTCAAATTAGTTAAACAGGCAACAATGCAACGGAACAAGCTCTCAAAGGAATTGAAAACAAGTGGTTCCTTAACTACATGGGCGTCATTAGGGATATTTTAGGGAGGCTTCAGCCTCCCTAAAAATGTCTTTAGCCCCCCTAAATAATTTCATTGCATTATTTAAAAAAAAGTATTATTTATTTTTCCTGTACTTTTGCTAATATATTGCATCAAATTCAATGTAATGTGGCCATTTTAAATTATATTTCGATAACCTGCCATTATTGTAATATTAATCTCCCAGGATTCCTGAACGCAACAGGTGTTGCGTTAGCATTTGACGTGTCTGTCACCATCGCCACATCAAATGCTAACGCAACAACTGACAGTTCATTGCCGAAAGTCAGGTTGAGTAGACAGCATGGATATTCGACAGTTTTTTAGAAAGGTAAATTAAGTATTCAATGCATCCATGCTGGTAAAACTAGTGACTATAGTCCGCTAAAATATCTCCAG